AGCGCGGCGGGTGCGGGAGGCGGTTCTTCCTCTCGCAGTCTGGAATCGCGTTTTTACGCGGGTTAGCAGCGGGGTTGGTTTCGCTCTTTTCGCCCTCGGATTTGGTTGATGCAGTTTGAAACCACACCAGCCGTGTGCTTCCCGGTCGTCCCGTGCTAAAGGGTGTAGACTCCCTCTGCAGCAGTAGTTAGCATCGAGTTTCTTTTTCAGAATACATTAACTCTGATTTCCAGGGTTTTTTAACTGTGCCAGCCAGGCACAGTTATATAGGTTACTACATATACTACAGGTTATGTAGTTTCTGTGGTTGTGTCTTTGGGACAGCCTCACTGTACACCAGCTTTTCTCTCTTTTAAAAATAACTGCATTTAAAACAGCTGACTGAACGTATGTTACAAGTTAAACAACTTTTGTGACCTAGCTTCAAGAGAAACCTGGGCTTCGGATCAGTTTGTCAGAAGGTGTGTTAAATCTGAAATTGTCTATGGTACCAGTTGAACAAGGGCACAAAGAGTCCATCTGCAATTTCGGTTGTGTTTTAAATGAGTGCCAAGCTCCTACAGTTCTCCTCTAGCCAGTTTGAGGAGAATTAAGAAGTTTTGAAGGAAAGTTTGGAGAAGAAAAACTTGATGGGGTTCTAGTTTTGTAAAGCTGGCAAAACTCATGCTTATAGTTTCTATAAAGAGCACTTAAAAGTTGGACTAGTTCATCCTCACGTAGTAGAGTTATGCTGTCTAGTTAATTTTCACTAAACTGATGTTGTTAAAGAACAAATTATTAAAATGAGGTTCTAACCAGGAGTTGATCGTGGACTGTCACTGTCAGAAACCATTTTGCCACAGGCTCAGAACTTCTGTAGGTCCAGGAGTGGATGCTGACTTAACAATAACTGGCAGACAGAGACGATCATGCCTAGGAAAGGGGCACATATATTTTTTTTTGTCTAATTACGGTTCAGTGATGACTTTTTGAACTTCTGTTCTTCAACTGTTAAGCGTTAACTTCTCTTCAGGGAAGTGGGTGCTGTTACTAATTGTTTCTGGAAGTGAAATCAAACACCTCCAAATCAATATATACCAGCTTCTGGAAGAATTGATATCCTGTCCAAGTAGTTAAGACTTGTATTGACTGTTCAGGCTCTCAGTTGTTCCTTTCTGCAGTAGTTTATAGATCCTGTCGAGCGAGATGGAACAGAGTAGATACTATCAAGAGCAACCTCCTTTGTTTCACGTATCTAAAAAGAATGTAGAAAACAAAGGGGCTACCAGTGACCTTGAAATCAAAGCAGAAGCCTATCACCTTAACTGTTAGTAACAGTGAGTTTCAAATGGTAGCTATACCATTTAGCTAAATTGCTAAATTTAGATTTTATCCCGCCCTCTGGATCTAAGAAGAAGGCTTTCTGCTTTTATTCTGCAGTCTTTATAAGACTTGACTAAAGCCTTCAAATCATTTTGTACATGAAGTTTTTAATGCTCAGTGTTCTTTGGTGTTAGTGGTGATTTATTCAAGCGCTTCTGCTGCCATCATCCTTCTGATTTGTTCACTACTCGTGCAGTCCTCTTTCCTGCAAAATTCCTAGTTCCTGCTGTAAATATCACTGCTTTCTAAAACCTGCCAAGTCAGCCACATCCAAATATGCTTAAGTTTACTGAGTTGTTGATGTCATCTCTGAGTGACCACTGTTGACCTCAAATAACTGCTGTTCCACGGGGCACGCGTCCATGTAATCCTTACGGTTTCTGCTGCCCCCATGTTACTGCCGCACTGTTGTGGGATCCCTCACCCCATGTTTTGTACAGAAACAAAATAGTCAAACTTAGAGGAGCACTTTTTATCAGTGCCAATGGAGCAGCAAGTCCTGTAAATATGACGTGAAGAAATGAACTTGTCTTTAAAGTGAGCCGTAGAAATGTTTATTCTTCAGAGCAGTGCAGGAAGCATGAGAATTTTTAGAGAGTGAAAAAACTTCAGAAAATTTTGGGAAAGGTGACCTTTTTTGTTCTCCATTAGGATCTCATAATTATGAGAAGCAGCCTGATTTCTATGTAGAGCCACTGGTGTATCACAGAGGAAAGCTAGTCCTGGTTTGATACTTAGGACTTCCAGAACTGGCAGCAGGTTGCTTTTCTTCCTTCTAGTGTTTTGCTTCCTTTTACCCTCGTTCCCCTAATGCTAGATATCTTTTTTTTTTCTCTCTGTTTTTTTCTTAGCCTCTTCTAGAAATTAGGCTGGAAAACCAGTGCAACTCATGAATGGGGAGAGGTTGAAACAACAAGCTCTGGCTGTGTTTGAAGTTTTTTGGTAAAGTCTTTCCTTTGACAGAACTAAGGTGTGATAAATACAAAGCACCAAGCAGAACTGTTCTCTATTCATTCTCAATTCTTTCATCTGGAGCTGGGACAAACTGTCAAAGCCAGTCTTCTAGACCAAAAGGACACCTTTTTTTTCAGTTCTGTGCGTATCACTGACTTGGCAAGGAATTGAAAGTGAAATTCTTTCCTGTTAAAAGCACTTAGCTATAAGTATATAGCTGTAATTCTTCCTGTCTCTTAATTAACTTGTGACCTGCTAACTGGGTTAGGCAGGTTCAGAAACAAATAATGTCTATAGAAAAGGTAAGGTGGTGCTATGTTTTAGGCAGCAGATGTTTATCTCTGTTTCAGCTGTAAACCATTATAGTTCTTTAGGGATTTTTTTAAAATGGCAGCTGCAAGTATTCAAACCACTTTCTCTGTGATATACCTTCTAAAACAAGGGACAAAAAAATATGTTGGAGCCTAGAAGTCTCTTAAAATACTCTGCTGTTTTACTGCCAGAGCAAAAGCACCATTAAAACAATACTCCTTCAGTAAGTTGGATTCTAGAGGGCAGAAGATAAGACAATTGCTTGAATTTTCATAGACAAGAAAACTGAATTAAACTATTACATTCTTATATTCACAGAGATTTGAACACTTATGTTTCAGGGCAGGAGAAACTTGACATGGGGAAAAACACCATGAGGCTTCTCTGTACTTCGCTTTCTCTTACCATGATTTGCTGGTTAGCTGAAGGTACCCTGTCAAAAACAGATGCTAAGAAAGGTGCTACAAAAAAACTGGAAGAAAAGGTAAGAGAAATAACAGAAATGCTCATCTCATCTAATGTGTGCAGTGAGTTAATTGAACTTGGGTAAATGGACTCTCGTTCTGTCAAAAACAGTGTTAAAAGCAACCGTGTATTTCTGTGGAAGCTTATGTTCACAGATAAGACTGCGTGAAATTGTCCTTCCTGTCAGCTTTTATGAGTGCCAGAAATGCTTCACCTCCTGAACCAATATGGTGTAGACTTCTGGAGCTTTATCTCCCATGAGGTGGCACAAGCAGAAAGTTTTCGTCCCCGCTTGCATAGCTAAAGGAGACATACTTTTTGGAAATGGGGGGCAGGAAGCAGTACTTTAGGCCAAGAGCGTTTGGTCATTTCCCGGTGGAAGGGGAGGTGTTCTCAGCCTTGCCGGTGGGAAGGCTGTATCCTGAGAGAAGAGTTTGAAGGGCCTCCTAACCAGCAGTTCCTCTACAGGCAGAAATGATCCAGAGTACCTTTGCAATCTGAGCAAACCAAGCCAACAGGCCAAATTCTCTCTTGACTTGCTAAGTATGTTCTTATTTCCTGCCTGTTTTCTTTCAAAACTGCAAGAAGGCACAGCGGTGCAGGAGAGGAAGTATATTTACCAGTCCATATGCCAACTGTGCACACTTAGTGCTGCTAAGCACGTAAGGTGAAGAAGTAGACATGTTCAAAACCCTCTCTTTTAATTACAGTTAATCCTCTATTACGCAGATACATCTCTCACTGTTTGTATTGCTTGCTCAACGTCCGCCAGGAAGAAAATCTAGTCTGGAGGTGGTGAGGATAGTACGAAGTGTTATGACAGGCCTTATCCCTAAAGTCCTTACTCTGTGTCCACAGGTCGTTTCTGTCTACTTGCTGTGCACACTTAACTAGGCCTCCTCACTCTGTTTCTGTCTGCTAAAACTATTTGTGCTGTTTTAGTTGAAGCAGATCTTCCTTAAATAAAGGTCTTCAGAACCTTGGCCTTCAGTAACCACAGTGCAGTGAACTCAGTCGAAAATATACCCAGTTCAAAAGTCGTCTTCAAGTTCTTGGTTAAGAAGTCCTAACCCCTTTTTGTTATTTTGGGGATACCGTGCCAGATAGCACTGACGAGAGAGCAGAGCACCATCAGCTGTGGTGAATGATGTTTTTGAGCCTTATCACCTTTTTTTTTAAATGCTTCTTACCTTGCAAACAGGAAGTTTCCTAATGATGACAAATCATTTCTGAGCACTTTCCTCTTTCAGCTTTAAATCAAACTGCTCTGCATCATTTAAAAGGAGTGCTCAGAGTTTAAACTTTTTCTTTGTTTTTGAAGCGGTTGCTTTGCATCACTGGTTCTAAAAACTGTCTTTTCCCCCCAGACACTGCGTTCTGATAAAAATGTGCATGACCGGGGACTGGTAGTTGTGGATCCAAAGGCAAAGGATATTATACTGGAACACAGAAGTTACTGCTCCAAAAAGATGAAGGAAAGACATTTTTCAGGAGATGTTCTGGGATATATTACTCCTGTAAGTTAATACAATTAATAAAATGGGTGCTTTGAATGAATATGCAGTAAACTGTGCTGATATGCAGTCTTGCATCCCTGCGTTAAAAACATTTTTATAATAATGGAACTTCTGGTCAAATGGGCAGAGGATTTCTTGAGAGCTGGCTTGGGATTCAGGTAGTCTCAAACCTTTGTTCTCCCATCCGTCTCTTGGAGAATGTGTAGGCCATATTGTTTTTCTTTTCGCTGATAAGACAGAGATGGTAGGATTTTCTTGTTCTTGATGAGCCATGTGGAGTTGCTCTGAAGTCGGAACAGGAGAGCTACTAAGTGTCCTCGTACCATGCAGCTACCAACTTGAACCTTCTAAATATACAATGAAAATTTTATGCTGCTGTCAAACTGATCTTTTTTGCTATCCAGTCGTACTATTATTCAAAGCATCCTTTCTTCAATAATAAATGTTTCTTCCTTTTGTTCAGAGGGTGCTTTTCACTTGTTTCAGTCTTACACTGCTCAAAAGAGAAATAGGTGCCCTAGGAATTCTCACCTTGTCACGTTGACAAGCCTCTAGTTGTCTGGGACCTCCCCTCTTAACCGGGAAGGTTTCCTCCAGCTAGTAAATGGGGATCTAGCAAAGGATTACATTTGTATTGAGGAACTTGTATGGATCAAAAGTAATATGAACACTCTTGCTTTTGAGGCTCTCACGTTGGTTTTTCTCCTTTCTTTTGCAAGTGGAACAGCCATGGCTATGACATTGCTAAAATATTTGGAAACAAATTTACACTAATCTCACCGGTCTGGTTACAAGTGAGAAGGAGAGGGAAGGAGATGTTCCAGTTCACTGGGCTCCATGATGCTGATCAAGGTGTTAATTTCTTTTTATTTGAATATGCATTTCAACATTGCAAGTAAGATTACAGTCTTGTGGACTAGATAGCTTTGGCAATGCATGCATGTGGCGTTGTTGTTTTTTTTTGCTTTTCCTCATGGTGAAGTACTTTAATCCGTTCCATTTTGGGGGGAGTTTTCTTCAGAGTGAACTTTTTTCCCACCCCGCCTACTTCCACATGTGTACATAGTATATCTGTCCAGAGAAGAAGTAGAAAGATTGGATCTTCCACTGGGCTGAAAGAAGGAAAGGGGTAAGGAATCTGTACAGGCAGAAATAGTCTTTGATGTTCACACTGTGCAGTTTTTTTACCTGTTTGTGCTTTTGTTTCCCATTGCAAAAATCTTTGGGTAAATTTGTTTTAGGAATGGAAGATAAATTTAATCTGAAAAGAATTATTTACCTCACTGCTGACAAACTGCCAGGAAGTGCAAATTTTGGCTAGTGTGTTCTTAAATAATACCAGGCAATTTAGCGTTTTGAACTTAACTGAGTGTGGAATCTCATTTGAAACAGCTTTAACTCCTTCCATGTTGATGCCTACAAACAAATTCATTCTAGTGCAATGACTGCCCAGAGGAGTGGATGGGAAGTACCATCTTGAAAAATAATAAAAAATTCCTCTCTATGGTCTTAGAAAAGTAATAAAAATTCCTCCCAGGTGATACTTGGTGACAACAGTTGTTCGGAGTAGACAGTAAGGTAGTTTGTATGATGAGGCAGAGCTCAGGGGAAGAGTTAAGTAGAGACTGTTGTAAGATTGTGGTAAATGCTAGTTACACTGTGGCGGAGTTGAATACTTCAGATTCTATGAGGATGTTTTGTGCATGTTAGTTGTGCCTCTAGTCTGTGGCAGGAACATAGATATAATGAAACTGTGCTATATTACTTGAAGAATTCTTGAAACTATGTTGTCATTGTCAACATCATTTATATTTTAACAGTTGTTCTCTTACTTGTTACTCTTTGACAGGCTGGATGAAAGATGTCAGAAAAAACTCCAAAAACATCAAAATAGGTGAGTCTCAGTTTTATGTTGGTTCATTTATCTGCTAGCAGAGTGAAAGAAGACTTTGTTCCATGTGTCTGTGGGAGAGAGGAAAGTTATCTTAGCATAGTTGTGTGAAAGAAGTCTGAGAAAAAATATAAAAGCAGTCGACTATGAACAGTAAAGTAACTGAAGTGTTAATCTTGGTGTCTTAATGTTTTGCCTCAACTTCTTGTCTCTGGGTAAAGCCTGGCTCAGAGGGCCCTATCTGCAGGGTTACTTTGCCTCTAGCACTACATGCTTACCCTGGGGACCAGTCTTCAAACTTGTTGCTCAGGGCTTCTGCTTCGTTAAAAGAAAAAAAAAAAATCCAAATCCAAGGCAGTCAAACTTTCCTGCATGATAGTAGAAAAGTTGTCGTTTGGTTCTCCAACCCTTGAAGTTGGGAGCTCAAGGGATGTGCCACGAGGCGTGCCTTTAGGGAAAATGGCAAGCATTGCCACAGAGTGAATACTGGGGTAGGGTTCTTACATTTGTCTGTAGCAAGAATTCTGTGGAACTAAATGCTTTATGAAAATTGAATACTTGGTCAAATATTTTAAATTACTTCAGCTGCCAGTTGATACAGCCTTTGAAATGTCTCTAGACTCTTCTCAAATACTTTTCTACATCCTTGATAGTTAGGGCTAAGACATAGCTCAGTATGAGTTGTTGGCTTTTCCAGCGTGCATGATTGTTGACTGTTCCAACAGCGGTTATAATTCTTGTCTACATATTTAATATTTTATGTTGTTAGAAGAAGTGGTGTGAACTCAAGTGCCTACGTTTTCTAAAATAAAAATTTGTCATAGGGCCTTGAGATAAATAGAATAGTGAAATAATATAGGGCAGTGTATGAAAGAGTGAATTAGAGTTTGCGGTGAACTTTTCTATCTTAGTCTTATAGTAGCAGAGATTCACGACTTACAGAAAGATTGCTGTTTCATGTTGGTGATCATTTCAGAATGTACTTGGGCCCCTAAGTGACATTTCAATTAAGATAGTTCAATCAAGTGAAGCTATCCTTTCTTAAAAGTTGCATCAGTTCTGACCTTTGAATGTAAAATGAAGAAAAATGTTCTATAGTGTCAATTTGTCTGTGCTGCTAAGGTTGGTGAGAGTAAAAGGGCAGTATTTTAGTCATGGTATATATGCTTTAGTGGCATCTCTGCTTGTATCTGCTCTTTTGTTTCTGCAGAAATACTTGAGTCTGGATAATAAATTTATTAATTTTCACTACTGATTGATGACTTTGCTTGATAGTGCCAAGAATTTTGTTTGATGGCTGGACTTACCAGGATTTCGAGAGTGTCTTTGGCAGTGAGGATGAGATAGAGGAGCTTTCTAAGAACATGGTCCTCCTAGCCAAGGTAAAAAAACCCCAACTTTCTGCTAACGCTTGTGAAATGGTGTGAGATGATGTTTGATTCCTTCTGTAATGGGTATTTTCTCATTTCTGGTAGTTACTGTTTACTAAGGTTTTCTGGGCAGCCCCTTAGCTGCTGGCTTCAGAGCTGTGCATCTGTAGGACTAGACAAGTTACACCCAAAGGTCCTACAAGTTTAGTGGTTGATTTGTGACAGCCTGCTAAAATACTGCCAGAAGAAGTTTTCTCACATTTTAAGGTGCTCTAGAGGACGATGGCTGTAAACTGAATGTATTGTTTTGTCAAATCTGCAACTAATACATCGATTTCAGGTCCTCGGTAGCAGTTAACCATTAGGGAGAAGGGACTTGTGCCAAGCAAATTATCACAAGTGAGATTAATTGTGGGAGATTTTGCCTTTGAATTTGGAATCATGCCTATGACAAATCAACATTTGCATCTTTAGACTGGAGTTTTTTCCCAATATACCTGTAACTGTGTGTCAAATGATTTGCTTAAAAGCCATCTTTCATTAATGGCTGGATTTTCCAATCCGGTACTGGTTTATCCTGTAAGAACAGAGGTTGTAGATAACTAATGGAGATTTTCAACCTTTGCATGTTTGTTAAATAATTTGTGGTTCTCTTTGACTTCTTCATGAAATGCTGCATTAAAGGTGAAGCAGATACAAGAATATAAAGCATGTTCAGTCTGTAATAGTACAAGAAAAACTACAATAATTGTGTGCTTGGATACGTATTATCATCTCTGATACAAGCATAATGAATATGCATGGTGATTAACTGTATATTATTATGAATTCCTTCCTTTAGAATGAAAATTTTGATGGTTTTGTAGTCGAAGTTTGGAGTCAGCTGGGAAATCAAAAGCAAACGTGAGTATAAAGCTCTAGGATGCAATTCCTAGAAATCAGCTCTTTTAAGGCTTCTTAATTTGTCCACGTTGATTTGAATTTCTTGTTTTAAATAAAACCACTTCAGTCTAGGACAACTGAAGATCGTTCCACTTATCTTAGAATGAAGTAAAAGAGTCTACTCCACTATACATGAGCCCAAACATTACATAATGGTCTTCATAGTGGAACTAGCAGTGAAGTTCTGCAAAATGTTCCTGTTGTACAAGGGCGAAGATGATGCCTCAGCTGCGTGTTTACTCAGATGTTGGCACTGACTAATTATAACGTTGGTTCGTTTGGGTTCCTGGATGAAGCTCGGAAGTGTGGGATGCTTTCAAGGCCACCAAATTGGAGTTGATTAGGAAACCTTCCAAACCTTTATATAGAGATCTTTTAGAGATACTGAAACCAAAATCCGCAACCTGTAGCAAATCTAGGGAGAAGCTGTCTTCCAGTTCCTGCAAGCACGGTATACTTTAAACTTTGGAGTAGTTGATCTACCTTTTTGGGAGCTCCGCTATGAAGTTTCAGTGAATCTGTATTTACTGCAGCTGCTGAAACTAGAGGCCTTGTCCATTTAAGCTGTTTTCCCGGAGCGAAAGCTCCTTGGCTGTCTTACTGCTTTGGACAGAGTCGAGGTAAGGTGAGCTCCGAACTGCTGCTTTAGCAGGGAAAAGGCAAAATGTGTGGTGAAATGAATCATTCAGTGCAGCAGTCTGAAGATTTTCTGCCAGTTCCCTCAGGAAATTCAGGCATCCATTCCCTAAATCACAGTATTCCTATAAACTCTCTATTGCCTAAAATGTCTGGGGGAAAATAGCTTAAAAGAAAGAATGAAGCCTTCATTATGGAAGACTTTCACTTTTCAGAGATGGTTACTTCAGGTTATTCCGTTGAGGGCAAATGTTACTGACTGAGACCATATAATGGTTACTTCTAGACCCAAGTGTGCTCTTAATAGAGTCCTACCTTTTCCCTATAAAATCGCCACTTGGGAACAAAGATGGAAACTACAGAATCTTTTTAGCCTTGTCAGGGGCTCCACCATTTCCACTGGTATGAATAATCCTTAAACTAGATGCACTTGCTCATTTTCAAGTGATTTGCCAGGTTGTTGATCTCTATACCGAGCTCTGAACTTATTGCGGTGTCTTAATAAGACAGCCAACAAGGTGATTTAAGCAATTAGTAACCGCCAGCCAGGAGCCTGGTGTAGTGGCCAGTTTTTCTGCTGTGCCTACTGTATTTTGGTGAAATTGATGCTCTTCCTATTTGTTACCTTAACAGGAGCATGAGACAGACTACTACTGTAATTTTAAGACTCACTTAAGACGAATTTAAGCACACTAGCATCTAAGTACTGTATGGCAAATGACACGTGTGAACAAAGCATACTTTTTTATTAGCTCCAGGATGAGTTTACTTGTGGCACAGTAAAAACATGACTCTTTGCCAGGAGTAATGCAATGTTTTGTCATGTGTGGCCACCTGTGAGCAAGACTTCAGGATTATCCTAATGAAAAATGTGAAGGCTGCTTAGACAGAAAAACTCTAGTAGAAGCTGAAGTCGTAAACTGTGAATTTTCTTCTTCAAGACTGGTTTTAAATGCTTCGTTGTAAACTCATCTGTGGCTTGTTTGGTTTTTTTCCCTCCTTTTGTTGCCACTGCCCTAGAAACGATTAAGGTGTTTAACTTGCAAAATACCTTGTGTTGGGCTTGACTCCTCAAAGAGGAGCTTTTGAATAAGGCTCATCTAGGCGGCAAGCTGAAGCCCGGCTTGTGTGTGGAATAACGGTCGTTTTGTGAAAGCAAAAGTGCACCGGTATGTTAAAATTTTATCTCATTGATGCTTGCGAATTATGAGACCAGCGTCTTCGTTTTGAGTTTAAGTCAGTTTGTCTGTTAATTTCCTTTTGAATAGCAGAGCAGGGTTCTTCTCGATACAAGAAAGGACGGGCTTTTACTTTGCTTGGCCCTGCCAGAAAAGCACTGGAGCAGCCCATGACGGCTTCACCCCACAGCGTGGCAGCAGTGTAACGTGATTCAGACCTGATCTTCCTTTGCAAGAGAGGAACACCAGTAGTAAAGCTATTCTTAACCCTGGAAGCGTGGGGAATTAGTTGATGTGGAGGTGCCAACACAGAACTGACCCCAAATCCTCTGGAGATACGAAGGGTTCATAGTGCAGCAGTTGTGTGTGCTCTGTGTAAAGCATCTGTGTTAACTGGTAGGTACACAGTGTAGGCTGTCCTCATCCAGATCCTTCAAGGTCAAACACCTGAAAGTAGCTTAACCTACTTTTAGCCCCGGGAGTAAAAGGATCATCGTGATGCTTTTAGGAGCAGATAGCATGCCTTCCAATTACTTGGAGCTATCTGACAGTACAGGGAGACCTGCCCAGCTAATATGATTTATTCCTATTTTTTAGTGTGAATGTGTTTTAGTTGTAAAGGAAAATTAAAAAGTGGTTGGTTTCATTTTTGAAATACGAGAAATAGTCTCACATAAGCAGTTAGCAACAGGTAATTGAGACTCAAGGCATGTAAAAATAGCGGGGGGATGCGGTGCCACTGCCAGCTTGCCTTATGAAATGACAGAGTGGTGATATGGGTCTGAGTTAAAATATTTCACTTAGAGTCATTATGGTTTTCATGTTTCAAACCTCAAGTAGGTGGATACTTGGATATTAAATTAATAAGTTATAAAATGACACTCGTTTGGTGCATCCTTTTGTGTAGCTGTGTTGAGGGGAAAGCTGTAGAAGTTATTCCTGATGATTTTTTAAAAGCATTAGGGACAAGATCCACGATCCCACCCAGTGCAATACCTTTGAATGCTTAATATAGCACAGCTTTCTTTATCAGACTTAAAACTACCCGAGGCTGGGATTTGCTTGTATAATGTATGTGCTTGATAAGGTGTTTCAGCTATGAAATCAGCACTCTCTGTAGACAATGTCTGATGATACTTTTTTAGCAGGGTCCAGCAGTGTTTCTTGAGGCAGGTGAGTCTGCCAAACAATCTGAGAACCTACAAACTAGTGTTGTGAGCCTCTAATAAATTGGATTATGAGTTAAGCAGTTCTTGATCTATCAGAAAGCTGGATTAATTGCAGCTGAAGCTCTCTTCTCAGTAGCTCTCAGCAAGTGTCCCCATGGGAGCCCCTTTTTCCTATAGCTGAACATGAATTTCGCTTGCATTGAAGAGGCATGATGACGTCTTCGTAACATGTGCACTTGAAACACTGAATTGCCTAAAGAGCTCATGACAATTAAACTTTGTAAGTACGTCCACATAGCAGGAGAGCAGCGTTAGCTCTGTGCAGTGCTTCTGTAACCAGTAAATCCCCTGACCAGCCTCTTTAAGAACGTGTGGTCACTGTGGCCAGTTTAGACACTTCTCTGTCAGCCATTTGCATGTTTCTAGAAAGTCTTTATTTTTGGGGTACTCATTTCAACACAAGAGGCAAATGAAAATTCTTCCTACAAAGAGCTTTTGGTTTCCTGTTCATCCTAGCTGGCATTGCAGATTAGGTGAAGTGTTACTAAGAAGTTATGTTGCTGGCATCCACTAAGACATGAAATTCTGTGGTTTCAGGCTCACCACATATCTTCTCTTTTACATCATCTTAAGCAGAACTAACTTATTCGGATTTTGTTTGTTTTCAGGAACAAAAAAAAGTTCTAATCCTTCTGGTTTGGGGTTAGAATTACTCTGTAATGCTCGGCAGGCTAAAGTCTTAAGTTATATCAATCCTTTGTGCTGCTTTCTTTTGCATATTCATTTAAATGTTGATTTTACCAACAGTATAATTTATATAAGACAATTATGTGCCTAAATATAGCTGCCTGGTTTCACGTTAGATATCCTAAACAGCCTGTTCTCTGGCTGTTCATGTAGGGTACTAAATATATTGAGTCTTACAAAACCGTCCTATATGCATGCTTTGTATAGCTTTTGCTGTATAAAGTGGTGTTGGGTTCTTATATTTAGAGGCCAAAATACCACCTGTTCTCCCCAAAGAACTTGAATTATCTTACAATGTGTGTGGACCTAAGTTTTAGCGGGTTTATACTGACCAGTTCAAACTCTTGTAGATGTCTACTAGAGATACTTGGAGGTATCCTCTGCAGGACTGGTACCTACTGCTTTCCTGGGGTTTCTGGGGATAGAATTACTGACATACAAATCATAGGGAGGTCGTGTTTATTGTGAGATGAAAGACTGCGTCTAACTGATGCTGCCTCCTATCATGCTGACAGTCTTTGTGCAGTGAACAAGTATTTATCTTCTTATCTTGTATTTTATCACATAAGAAATTAGTTCCCTAAGAAAAACTTAAATCAACTGAGATATCCTATGCAGATGAAACCTGAATTTTTGTGTCTCACTGCTTTTACAGTTTAAGCCTGCTTCTTACCTAAATTACTGTCCTTTATCTAAAGCTTTCTTGACTGATTTTGCAATAAAATACTCCATGTTATTCATCCTGTGACACCTAAGTACAGAAATAGAGATGGCATAGGTATTTATATAACTGAGTAAGCAAAGGTTCTCCTACTTATTTAGTTAACAGTGAGACAGGACAATTTCTGTCGTACTAATCTTACTTGTGGGTTTGCTGGGTGGGTTTTTTTTTCTTCAGAGACCTGGGTTATGTTGTGAAAAAGGCAGGAATGTACCTATCAGAATCCCACAGCGTACATAAAAGCGTGCACATTATTCTGATCAGTCTGGTATTAGCTGACAGATGGCACTGTTATCACACAAAATCAATCTGAAGAATAGATTTTTTTTTTTTGTCACCATGTGCCGCAGGCACTTGGTATCATGCAGAAGATGACCTTCAGACATCTTGTTTAATGTTGGTAGGAGTATAGGAGCAAAAAGTCCTTCTGGCAGTTCTATCCTTCATGTTAGTCCCTGAAAAATTAATCTATTAATCAAAGATTTGTCATAATTTACTCCAGTTTCTTGGTATTAACTAGGCAATGAAATGGCACAAAAGGGCAATTTCTTCTTGAAGCAGACAGCTTTACTCTGTCCAATTTTCTTGACAAGGCATAAATTTTCAGGAGTACTGACTACCAACTTGTGCAAAAAAAGTGGCTGAAATTGTAAAGTTGCAGAGTTCTAAAGGGTTGTGTACCTGAAGCAAAGGATGTAACAGCCTTGCAGGCCTTCTGCAAGGCCTTTCAAATACACCTACAGGCCACTATTGTGCGCTGAGGTAAACTGTGCCACAAGGTGTCCCGAACATAGCAGACCAGCAATGCCAGAAAAAGGGAGTTCTGAAAAAATAAGCCTCCCTCAAACTTGGGGTGATGAAAATTTGGAGGCTTCCATACTTTATAGGGGACAGGATACTCTGAAATTATGAACACTTGGAAAATTGACCAACCGAATGGTGGTGATAATAGAAGGCATGAAATGGTAGGAATGAAGTAGATGTTAATTAGCTGGAGATAGTCTTAAAGCTGCCAGTGTTTTAGTAGCTACTCTGAAGTTAAATTTGACAATGGTGGAGTCTCTGGTAAATATTTGATGAAGCCTTTTCAGGAAGACTAATTCCACTCCTACTTTCCTGCACCTCATTAGAGTATTTAAAATGTCAGTAGCTTTTCTTTCCAAATTGCAAGTGGTAATATAGGAGAATATTTTCTTTAAAACACCGGAAAGCACTGTTGGGACACAGTAGAGTTTTAATTTCTAGCGCACAGTAAGTGAGCGTTCTGCTATTGCTATTTGGGGGAGAGACGTAATCTGTCTTGGCTGGCAAATGGAAGTGAGCCTACAGTAAATCTTTAACTATTCATTGTATCTGATTTGCTAGGAAGTGTTTTAGGGCTCAGAGACCTGGCTTGACAGGTTGGTGAGTAGATGTTAAGCTGGGTTTCTTCAGCAAGAATCTGCAGCTGTCTAGCTACCCCTTCTCTTCCTGACCTCCTAAGTTGGAGTTAATTATTTTTTTGGCTCGAGCTATGCTTTGTGGATTTGGCGGCAGGAGGAGAGGAAGTGGCTGTTTTGAAGGAGCCATTTTTAGAGTCCTGCCTAGTAGCTACAAAACTAGCAATCCGAACTTCACTCCTCCTGTATCAGGCCACAGATCTCCATCCTTCACTTCCAGTTGTAAGTTGTGGTTCTACACTGTTTGCCTTTCTAGTTTTAAAATATGATGGGCTTTGTGCAGTTGCTGTTTTTGTGGGTGCATCACTGCTTTTGTGGATACATTTTTACCTCTCCTGGTGAACCACCAGTGTCTGACATTGTGGAGGAAAGGGGAGACCTTGAATTTAATATTCACTTTTTTTTTTTCCTCTACATCTGGCTCGGAATAATCGTAACTGCTTTTCTTCTTACACTTCAAAGCATTCCTATCAGGACAGCCAAATTTTAGGAGCTGAGGCAGATATGTAAAGATGCAAAGTTGAAGCAAGGGGTTTAGGCACATTTCTAAACGAAAAAGATGTTACCTTGCTCAGCACGTTAGGTTCTTTTGTCCTGTTCTGCCCATCTTTGTGTCCTCTTACCTTCTAAATAATTAACTTTCAAGGCAGCAAATATGATGGAGAGGTCTCAAAGTTCCCACAGCTAACAAAGGCAGCCAGGCAGAGAAGAGAGATCCCTGCGATGAACAGTATGGAATAATCTCAATGCTAGAGGAGTTGTTTCTTTGGCCAGATTTATCTTACATGTAGTGTTTCTGACAGCTAATAAAGTGTGCACTCATACTGCAGTTTGGGCATAGTTGGTTAAAAAGGTCACTGTAGCCAGGAGACACAAATCGGAGAGAAAGAAGGCAGAGCTAGTCGTGGTACCGATTATGGTTTTTGATGAGATTGTCCTGTGGGATCTGTGATGTCTGTGTTGTAGTCAATATATGTCTGGTTGGTTCACTGTTGTAATTTTTTAATGCGTCCTATGGAACAGGAGGATTCTTTGCTATAACTGATTTGTCAGAAAAGCGACACTCTTAATGTGGAGGCTATAGGGTAAGGAAACCGGCGGGAAAGCTGTTACTTTCCCAGAGCAAGAGTGGTGGAAGTACGTGCTGCAGACAGACCAAAAGCTGATTCCTGTAATCTCATGTCTCCCCCCCTGGAAAAGAAATACAGGTGTCAAGAGCTGTTCAGCGCAACCAGCTCTCAAGATTGTAAACTCTGAATACTGATGGTGTTGGGAAAGTGATAAAACTCACTTTGTTTGCCAAGATTTGAAGAGCTTTTGTAGCATCCTTAGGAAGTTTTCATCAGGCATCATGATCTAGTCGAGAGGTAGCGTCTGTGGCGACAGGGAGGCTGGATTAAATGATCTCTAAGGTCCCTTCCAGCCTAGACCAGTCTATGATTCTATGATCCAAACATTTTGGGGAAAATCAAAATACTTGGTTGCCTTTGGATAGTGTCTACATTGGGCAAGTCAAGCATCATTACTGTGATTGATAATTTTGTTGGAAGATCAGTTATTTCAGAAAAGTATTTCTAGGATGATACTGCCTTGAAAGGTGTGTCAGTGTCAAAAGTTGTTTCTGAGAATTCAGATCTAATCTAGTTTTAGTGGGGCAACTTAGATGGTTGTGTATATATATACTGAAGGTGATACCTCCAGATATGACACTGTCAAACATTTATGTTGTGGCTGTACAGTGATGTGTAGAAATGACAGGGTTATTTATACATAAAAAAAATTAGCAGCTGAAATGTTTCTTAATACAAGTCTCAAATATCACTTGGAGATGGCATGTCTGGTTGTGAAAGCATCTTTGTAAATTCTCAGACCTCATGGGTAGTAGTGCAGTGGCAGCTTGAATCTATTCAACAGTTGCTTGTCTCAGAGCAGTGTTTGGTTCTTCTATTGATCTAATTTTTTTCCCTGAATGTGGCCTCAAGAGGTGACCTGCTCTAGTAAGATACGCTGGATTTACAATGCTAACAATGCATAGTTAGATTAAAATAAAACTAGGAAACATTTTAGCCCCAAGATGGTCATCAGTTCCAATAGTGTCTTAAGCAGTTGAGTGTTCTTAGTCCTGGAAGAGGGTAAGCCTCTGATCATTCTTTTTCATTTTTTTTTTTTCTGTGGGCATTCACTACAACCTGTGTTGGGCTCTCTTGCCAGCTACACCTTTTCAATTATTTCTGCTGTTCTGTGTTAACTTGCTCTTGCCAATATAGAGCACCAGCTTTACTGCCTTTCCCTCTAACAATGTATTTCTGTTTCAGGGAGTTGATTCACTTGCTCATTCACCTTTCTGAAGCTCTGCGTGAAGCACAACTTAAGCTCATACTGGTCATCCCTCCTGCAGTTGCAGCAGGGTGAGTATTTCTGTATAGCTGGCAGGCACCAGATGAGAAATACTTTCCTGGCTCACATACAGTACATTCAAAGCTCTCTTTCTAGCTATGCAGCTTAAATGAATAAGAAATTATTTGAGTTTGATTGGTAGTCCTGTCTTCACGCCTATTGCAATGAATAGTCTTAATAATTATGTGCATTCACATATACCTCATAACTTTTGGTGTCAAAACAACTTGCAGCAGGACCTCCTACTGTGACGTTAACCCAAAACGTCTGGTAAGAACTTTCAGGAGAAGAGTGGGAAGAGTTGTGGAGCTTTGTGTCTTGTTGCCAAGGAGTGAAAAGGTTGTCGTAACAGTAGCATATGAAAGAACTTTATGAGCTTCTGGGCACAATTTCAGTTATGGTAGATGATTGTTATTCTTTAAGTAAGAAAAACAGAGCTACAGGAGAGAATTTTATCTGTAATCAGGCCGTGGGTTTTTAAAATGTATTTTGAGTGCATAGTTCATATGTGCAGAAATCACGTTTAGTGAGAAGATAATATTTAGAATTGTTCATGACTCTGTTTGATGCAATGATGTGAATCTGTCAGATGTACCAGTTTATATGCTGCAGTAAGCAGTTTTATCTTTCAGAGTTCATGGCAGAGATAAATTTACTTCCTAAGATTGTTGAAAAACCCAAACCTATTTGGAAAAGAGCAATGTCATTTCATTACATGTGGAGGGATTTTGAATCCTCTTCAAGTTTTTACATGTGCTCTGACTAAGTCAAAAATAATGAGAAATTAGCAGTAAAAGTCTTCTGTCTGTCATTTATTCCAATCTTTCATGCTTCCCTCTTATGATCTACATTTCATCCCTATTGACAGTTCCTTTTTAGAGCAATTTTCTCTTACTATTAATTGTAGTCCTTTACAGTTAAAGCAAAGGAGAACACTTTAAAACATTTTCCTAAAATACTTTTTCAGTCACTTTACCACACAGATGCTTTTAAAAATGCTAATGCATGTTCTGGTAGAATTTAAGTAATTGCTGTAAACAGCCTTCACATTAAAATGCATTTGCTCCTTTTGGTGGTGAGAGAAAGTGGAGACTAGTACAAACCTTAATAATCCTCTTTGTCGTGGTGCTTCCTGGCATTACCAGATTGAGCCCCCTAGGCAGAGGGACCTAAATCCGTTTTGTTTGTATACAATTGCGTTGGCTCTGCAGTGTGTTTGTTCTAAATCCCAAACGAAGAGCCAAGCTGCTATACATGCTCTGGATACATCTCGCCTTGGCCACAGTTTGCTTTGCTGTGGTAACTATCTCTCAGGACTGTTTTGCTGTCTAATACCACGCTGAGGTTTGGACCTTGTGTTCTCATTGCCCCTCCTGCTACTTGTCCTGCATGTTGGCGGGGTAGTGGGTTCACCGTTCCGAAACCTTTCTGAACTGGGTTTTAGAGGCGCCCTGTTAGAGCTGGGATGAGCTGTCTCTCTAAAAAAGCAGTTTTTAACCCCAAATATGTATTGCATGCCTGTGCCTAAATGGTCTTGTAGAGGAGCAGTGAAGTATTCCTGTTTTCTAGCTGTGGGAAATAACACCTGTGCTTTATATGAAAGAATCTGGAAGTCTTATGCCTAGAAAACAATTATTGTATTTATGCATTCCTAAAGTTTCTGGGATTTATTCATAAACCTTTATTGCACAGGAGAATGCATTAGTCGTTCTTTCCTATTAATACTGTTGTGTAAGCTACCTCTCTGTGCCTTCCATGTATGTCTTCCTGATGTATTAACTACAAAAAATGCTTTTACTTCTTGAGTAAATAGGTAGATGAAAGTATGTTCATCGGTTATGGAAGCATCTGAAAACGGTCACAATGTCTGTTCACGCTTTAAAGCTTAGAAGTATGTTGGATTTAATGATATCAGTAAGCAAAATCCTGAAATTTTGTTTCTGCCTTACTTGACTTTTTCAGTAGTATCTGCACTTGAAAATTTTTGTTTTGCAGGATACCAAGGCTTCAAGTGAAAAGTGCTTCCCATTGTGTCTTAAAATCACTTTTGGGGTTTTAACGCTGGCACATGGTTGTAGGTATGCTTTAATGCGTGTTATACTTTTTTGTTGTAATCACTGTGGACTGTTAATCAAAAATACAGCAAAAGGCATGGAAATAAGTACCACCACGAATCAAATAACATTTTAGAGTTCGGCAGCTGGCAGAAGACTGATAAAGGAGGCATGAGCTGTATGTGGAATACTCTAACTAGCTGGGATGGTAGGAGCTGAAACATTGTTCCCTTTGTGTTCTACCCTGATTAAAATTTAAAGAGAGAGCATGGTTAAATGTAAGCAATTTATTTAGGAATTTGTAATTTAAACTCCTTTGATATGCCTTAAGATCAAAGCAGTCTGGAAGCAAATACTATGAAAGGAGACACTTTTAAGAGCTAAAAATACTGGTTTGCATAGGGAAAAACAGTCTGGAAACTGCGGCATTGCACATGAGATCAAGTCTATGATGCAGGAAGGAAATGTGTTGGGTCATCTGTTTAACTTCGTGAATTTAGCTTTTGCAAACAAAAACTCAGTGAGACCAGTCCTGTAGCTGGAGCTCAAGCATCCAGTGAAGCCTTTGTTTTGTGGTTTGCTTGTGGAATGGTCTGGGTTAAAAGAAAACTTAAAGCAAAAACCAATTTTTAGATTTTTGTTGTGGTTTTGGTTTTTTGTTGTTTCTTTTTTTCTTTAAGTCCAGTCATTTTCTACATTCCTTGACAGCAATTTTTATATATCTGTTCATAGCATTGTCCAGAGACATGTCCTCTGGCATAATCAAGAAGTGGGCGTGCGTGTGCAGGCTGATTGGGAGGCAGGAACCCCTCTGGCAAGCTTTGCTGTCATGGAGAGGGCGTGTAGAGCTACCAGTGTGGCAAACACAGACTGAGATAGTTCGTATTTCCATCCACCTGATGTCCAGGAATCACGTGGTTTTCCTGCAAATGTGACTTCCAAGAGGCACGGCAGGAGCTAAAGCTACACTCTGAAAACTCTGTATGTGCATATGTGTGTGACAGGGTGATTCTCCTTTGAGCTGGGAGACTGGTGGGTGCGTGTGTCTGCAGCAAGGTGCTGGGTTTGCTGTGTTATGCCAGTGGTTGCTAGAGCAGATGGTTTGCTGAAGACTTTCAGACTGTCTTTTGATAGATTGTCTCAAACATTCGGTGTGCTACTGCTTTTAATGTGCGTGGTTAGGGCTGCGTGTGTAAACTCTGAGCACCATTTCTAAGACAGCCATGGGTAGCTGGGTGTATTCTCCACGCTGGTGATGGTGGGTAACTCCATTTGTACTGGCTAAGCCTGGGCTTGATTAAATTCTTGGCTTGAATATGTGCACGTCAGTCATTATGGTACTGCAGAAATTATACCGGTGAAAGCTGCGTGGATGTTTTTGTGCTGATAAAACCAAGCCTCTTTCCAAATAGAATAGCTGTGAACTAATATTATGCCTAAATATGTGTTTAAAAAAAAAAACCCAAAACCCCAGACTTGGAAGTGGAGTTTAAAAAAATCAGTCTTTGCTGGGCCTCTGCAAAATCTGGGCTGAGGAAGTGGCAGGGCAATATATCTCATGTGAAAGTGGCCTAAAGCATTTCCCTAAAACAGTAAGGCTGGTGGATTGTTTTTAACTTTGAGGAAGACACCAGACTGATAAGTAAACATTTACAAGCAAGTGATCAGATCTTGAAGTTATTCCCAAAACATGAGAAATTGGCTGGCATTAATGCCATGAGAGTAAAGACGGATAAAAAGGACTATTTTAAGGAGGCAGAAGTAAAACATGGAAATGTATGGCAGGTTTCTGGGCAGACCCTTGTTGGAAGAGAGTCAGACAATTTCCAAGTGCTGAGGCAACAGTGCTGTGAGATGTAGGGGAGGGGGACACTTTTCATTTGGAGGCAATTGGCAGGGCGCTCGCAGGGTGACCAAAGGTGATTATTTGCTAGGCAGGTCTCATGGAAGACTCAGTGTGGTGTGCTGTTTTTATAAGAGGATGTGGAAAATTGAGAGTGTCTGGAGAAAAGCAAGAAAAATGGCTCGAAGTGTAGATAATGTCTCCTTTGAGGCAAGTTTGAAGAACTGCATTTAGTATATTAAAAAGACGAAAAAAGTGTCAGGAGACATAATAAGTCTTCAAATGTGTCAGCAGGGGCTGTATAAGTGACAGTGATATATTAGTCTTTACATCAGCTTAGAAACAAAGGATAAAAATACTCCTAGTTGACTGTAAAGAATTTTCAATTTGATCACTAGAAAAAGAGTAATGTCAGATGGTAAAACACTGTAGAAACACCTAGGAAAATTTTGGACTCTTCATACACATTTTGGGCTGGATGTTACACATCTAGGTAGCAGGTGGTGGTCCAACTGCACGTGGAGAAAAAAAAGAGCAACACCTTTCTTAATTTCTTTGGGTTGTAGAATTAACGCTCCATAAATGTCCGGTTGGTGGAAGAGTGCGAGGAAGCAGAGGTGAGCCAGAAGGAAGAAGAAAAAGAATACTCTGTTGTGAAACTTTCTTCCTCGGTCCCAGGAGCAAAGCAGACATTCACAAATACCCGTTTGTCTTGAAGGCAGCTCCTTGTGCAGGGAATACACCTGGGACTCAAGCTAGTTCTTTTACGAACGGATTTTTTTGAAGGCATTCTTTGTTAAGCCTTCCTTAGGCTTACCTTTTAGGCGAGCTAGATATCTGGGGAAGTTTTTCTTCTGGTTGTGATTAAAAACAGAGCATGTGGGGCAGACACAGAAAAGAAGAGCCAAGAGCTGAAGTTACCTAAGATAGGCTTTGGCATTCTGTTATTAAACTGAGACTTTATTGGCTTGCTTTTAGCCTCAGTGAATTAAAATGTCAGGTGAACATTTCCAAAATGTTGTCTAAAACACTGAAAGAGGCTCATGCTTTTGAATTTATAACTTTAGGTGAATTTTTATGAGTTGTGAAAAATTTGCCTATGACAAAATGTTTT